TTTTCCATTAGTTACAATCAAGAATTAAAGACTCTATGCTAATTGAACACTAGTATAAAGTATGAATAAACTGTTTATGAATAAATAATCTGTAAAGCAAAGTTAACACTAAGGTCTTTAGATCCCAAGGGGGTTTTCTGTGGTTGTGGTTCCTGTAAGTTCGTTCATTTCTTTCATTCGGAAAACTTGGAAGATGATAAAGCTCATACAGAGGACGCTGAGTACGAATAAAATCAAGGTAAGCTGTTTGGCCGATCTTGAATAGGATCTTCCATGTACATAGTCACCCTCGTCATAACGGGATCTTGCCTGAAGAAGTAAAAAATAACGAACCTTAATTAATAACCGTTAATTTTAAGCATGCCTTATACAATCAAAATAATAATTATTTAGATGGGTATTTATTATACCCCCGCATGAAAAGCGGGTAGGTATATAGTAATCGTTATGTCCGTCCGTCTTACGCTTTGGGGAACCCATCTCTTATCTGCAATTTTTCTCATACAACTGAATGAAATTTGACGAGACTTTCACAGAATCTTTATTACATATTGTCATTTTGCACCTCCTATCTTACTTTCTGATCCGACACATATTTTGGGTTTTCCAAAGCAAAACATGCACTGGGTGAAAAAAGCAGTTTCCCTTCATGGGAAACTTACATGGTTTCCACAGCGGATACCATGTTATTCCGCCAAGTTTCCGTGACACGAAATTAATAAGCTCCGATTCCATAGCTATCCCGAATCACGGAAACCTTTCTACATATGGACACTGCCATTATATTCATATGGGAGGCGGCGGTATCATTTAGTGAGTTCATTAGTCCAATACCTCTAGTTGTAATCTAAATTATAACTATATTTAATATTAATTGCTCTTGACGTACAGAGTGAATCTAATTATGAAATCGAGTCTACGTACAGTTTCTACCATCCCTTTATATATAAAATCATGTCTAGAATTCTATTTTATTAAGATAAACATACATTAACAGCTGCATTGATGGCACAGACGCCAACGGGCCAGAAACAGCAAAGACAGGCAAAAATTGCGGGCACCAGCCAATCCCTTTCTCTTTGTGCAGCAAAAACTCTAGGTGTAGGGTACCATTTACCTATAAGGTAAGAGGAAACAGCAAGACTTGATAATGTACATATGCATGTCATTTATCACGATCAGATTGTTTACCTGCACTTAATCACATTATCTTCCTTAGAATCTCATTTTACACATTGTATTTTTTAATGAACGTGAAACTTTGCTGTATTTGAATAAAGGTGATTATAGCATGTATATATTTGACCACAGACTTACAACAATATTTGCTGAAGTTCTCGACATCGGGTAACTATATCCTGAGGGCTGCTGTGTTGCGTGTACGGGAAGCTGATCGTACCCCGCATTGTATGCTAAAAATAAAGCATAAAATCATTTCTTTGCTTCAATATTTTTCAATTTGAAAGATTGGTTCCGTAGATGTTTACCTCTAATAATGAACAATCAATACTTTGGTATCAGAAGAGAATCAAGAAAAAAAATAATGTTTTTACATGTATTTTTAAAAAAAACACGTTATTTTTGCCTCCTAATTGAATCCCCTGGATGAAAATTTCAAAACTTTATTGTTTTTCTAGTTTATAAAAGAACTACGGATTTATCACCCTATAACGGGGCAAATGTGGGAGTTCAAGTTAAAAATCCTTTGCTAATGAATTAATTCTTTGGAGCCAAATGACATGCACACGCCTTGAAAAATGTATTGCCTTCCAATTTATTGCAATAACCAGTTTGAAAGCCTTACGGATTGTGTTAACACTTCTAGACAGCATGTTATTTGGCCCCAAAGAATTCATTTGCAAAGAATGTTTACAAGTATATATTCCAATTCAAAAAATCACCGCTTCGGAATTGAAACCCCATATGATACTTAACTAAAACCCAAAATGTGCCCCTTTACATGGTGGCTTTATGGTTGCGACAGATTTTGAGCATCAATGTATTCAACGTTCATGAATGTGACATTCAATACAGAATATAGCTGTGACTTTAACTGTAATTTTTAGATGTTTTATTTACAAGTACAATCGGACTTCTGAAGAAAAGTGCAATCCAAAAGGTAAATGCTTTCGAAGATTATGATTGAAGTCTGAAAAAAGTTTTGCTTTTAGAAACAAAAAATTGATGTTTCATTTGAGTTCTTCGCTTCCTTTCTATGAATTAGATAAAATAAATTAACAACGATTCTGATTTGAAGAGGATATATATTCTGGAGCAACAGTATAAATGAAATTAAATGCTGTCATATGTTTATGATATTAATCGCAATGTTTAACGCTAAATACTCGAAAACCACTGATGAGGTCACAACTTTTTTTCATAATTTTTTTTTTAAATGTGCAAAACTCTGGGTAACAATATTGAGAATGAAACCTTAGGTACAATGGGCTTCTCATTGTCTAGCTCGTTGATATGCCAGGGCATCAAAGATAGTTGGAAAGGTGGGATAATTTGCATAACGGACAAAGATTTAGCCCTAAAACACGTAATTAATAAAAAAAACGTCTCCGTTCCTAACACTGAAAGCAACAGAAATGATGATTTCTATCAAATCAATTAAAGTTACAGGCGTGTCATAATTGTGCACGGAGATTCCAGAGATATCAAATTTTGCGTAATTCGTAAGTGCATATTACATAACCTACAATTGTTAAAAAATATTGAAACTTTGATTTTCGAAAGGGTCCAAAATTATGTCTCATTCGAACTTAAACAGCATTGAACAATTTGCAGGCTGATATTTCCTGTCTCTATTTTCGTTTGAATAGTAGTGATATAATCACAAGGAAGAACGTACATTAAGGCTAATTATGCAGTAGATACAGTTCATTTGATGGGCCAATCCAATGAAAAGATGCAAACATGTTACCTTAGCTATAACCGTTTCTTCGTGTGATTAGTTTCTATAGACTTGCCACTCAAGGAATTGTTTGAGAAATATCAGTTTGATTTTCTTTCAAAAGTAAAATTAAATTTAAAAGAAATAAATAACCTCAATAGATTGAAATTAAAGCTGAATAAAAAGAATGTCATAGGACGAATGACAGACAAGTCTTCATTATTAATCTATTTTAAAAAAAAATTGACTTGAATCTCTACATGAAGCATTTTTTTGCAGTTTTTTAAAAACGTTTCTTCTCAATAGGAACAAAGAAAAAAAATTTATAAGGTAAATGATTAAGTTAGCAAATTCAGGCATTCAGCATCGTATTGAAAAAGAAGTTAACAAGAAGAATTGACAAGAAATATATTCCCAACTCATACCTTACACAGTTTTGGACGCAAATGTAAAGTATACGTGTAAATTTTATTTGATATATTTGTCTCAGTTTAGTTTTAGTTATTGCTGATGATCATGTCTTATCGATCAATCCACCTGCTCTCAAAGATCTAGGTGGACATTCGTTTGCTCTACAAGTAAGCGGATCATTTGTACATCCCGTCTCAAAACTGCTTCAGAAGTAATATTAACTAATTTTTCGATTATAAAATAGACAAAAATTGTAATATGAAAATTTTAAAAACTCAAATTGGTAATAATTTTTATAGAAATTTGGAATACATATAATGAAAATGCTTTATTTCATCAAATTTTGCCAATTGTTTTAATTTGATTCATGAGATTTTATGCATCATCATCACGATTATTGTATCTGTGTTGAAGAACATGAATCTGAACGATTTCCAGAGACTGCGATTCTTTCTATAAATCATATCAAGAGTAGACACATCTCTTACTCAAAACTCTTCCTATATCTTTTAATTAATCACGGAATTTTCATTAAATATAGTCCAAAAAATCTTACTTTTTCCACGCTTTTTCACGATTTGATATCCTGGCACATGAAATATCAATATCGTAGAAATAGCCCGGAAAACGTAAGACATTTGGACTATATTACATGGTGTTATAGCTGCACATCTTCAAAATCAATATACTTTTAACCTGAGAAATATTTCTGGTTTCCTATATCAAAACATGAATAATCCTATTCCTCTTATAATATCGGGACCATCACTACCATTCACAAGTCCAATACATGTACCACTTTATATAAAATTCACGGTAGCCTAGTGAATCGTGATCGAGAGGCCCGGGTTCGATTTCCCGGCGCCGCGTCAAACCTAAGACGTGAAAATAGGTAGTGACTGTTCCTTCGCCAAGCGCTCGGCATCAGAAGTGAAAGTCACGGGTCTTTCGGATATGACCTTAAAAACGTAGGTCCCGTGTCACGGTAGGCGCTGGCACGATAAACAACCCTCACTGCTCAATGGCCCTGAGTGCCGAGTATAGGTCTAAAGTTGAAGCCCTTCACCGGCATACGATGACGTCTCCATATGAGTGAAAATTCTCAAGAGGAACGTTAAACAATATACAATCAATCAATCAATCAAAATCAATATACTTTTAACCTGAGAAATATTTCTGGTTTCCTATAACAAAACATGAATAATGCTATTCCTCTTATAATATCGGGACCATCACTACCATTCACAAGTCCAATACATGTACCACTTTATATAAAATTTTACAAATGTCTCAGAATATTTATCAGATAGTGTCATTGTGCACCTCCTATAAGAAGGAAGTAACATATCAGAAACCGTTGGCTAGAGAAGATGCATTAGAACAAGATTCAACTTAAATCAAATTCCTCATCTTCTTCGTATGATCCCTCCTTGTCCTATAGATCTGAATTACACAACAGAGAGGAACTTGCAAGCTGTAAGAACTTGTTTCTGATACTTTTGTGTTAAACAATACAATATGTTCAAATCAAATTGCACAACAATCGTATGCATTTGTTATTTTTTAAAAATCAAGTATGGTATGAATTATATATATATTTATATTATTTATTTATTTATTTATTTATTTATTTCTTGGAAAGTAATATTTTAATTACAAGTACATGAAATAAACTATAAGAAATACTCACGATCCCCTTCGTATTTATATCCGCTGGACATCTTTGTGCAGATTTTTTTTTTAAAACTCAAATATATTCAACTGTTAACTTCCAAAACCGTGACTCCACAACACACTTCAACTGAAATACTGGTATATGAACTGGCATATTAAAATGTGTGAATTTTTTGACCCGGAAGTATCTGCATCCTTTGATTATTACATTCCTGTTTTCTAAAAAAGAATGGTCGCTTACATACTGGTTGTAAAGCCAACTGTTAGGTTAACATTGATACTTATTTCTAGTTAATACTAGTATATATATTATTATCAAAATATAGATAATATATAGATAACATAATGTCCTTTTCTTTGTGTAAGTTTTGGAATAAACATTGCTGTTATAATAAAGACAAAAAAAAGATTCACGCTAGTAATCCATTTACATAATAGTAGAGTTGCAATTTAAATTAGGATTCCAGTTTCGCAAGAGCAAGTCTATTTCTCAAAGAGCAGCCATGGAAATAAGCTTGCTCTTGGGAAACTGAAATCTTGTTTTTCAGACTCCCTCAAAGAAAAACCTGTACTGGACAAAATTGCTTACGCACCACTTGTAAGTCTTTTTTGTGTATTGAACATTTCCCTCATCGGTATTAGTATAAACAAAACGCCATCTTTTCCAATTAAATCGGATTGTCAAATGTCTCTGTGTCATGACCAAACTCAAAAATGATCTTCTTGCCCAAAAACCAATATCCCGACATGCATTGCGCATTTTTGACGCCCAAATATGCAGTTGCTATTTACCGATGATGGTCCTTGCAGTTATACCAGAAGCAGTCTCTCAAATTATACTCTTAATTATTTTTCGCCTGTCAGTCATCCAGTGCCTTTGTCTTCATTATTAAATATGAATTCCATAGCTTGAACCAATCTTAGGGAAGGTTGTTTTTTCGGACAAACGGAAAGCTAGACAGACTGCCAGACGGTCGGTCAGGGCAAAAACTAACAGCCCCGAATCGTGTGGGCCTTAAAAGAATTTACGTATTTTATTATGATAAGAAAAGACTGTGTACTCGCAATGCATCACAATTTTGGTCTTCCAAAGCTTTCATTATATATTTTTATTTATATTTTAGTTTTTAAAAAACGTTAAAAGTTGATGTATAAGAATAAAGTTGAATTCGGAATTAAAATTTTAATTGCTTTCTACTGACCACAGATTAACAACAATATTGACTGAAGTACTCGTCATCTGAAAGCTGTCATGATTCGTATGTAGGAAGTTGATCGTACCCCGCATTGTATGCTAAAAATAAAAGCAAAAATGTCTATGGTTATATATTTTGATTTCAATTGTTTTTATTTAATATATTAAATAAAAAGTTTGTATTTTCTTAAAGAAGTTACAATCTTGATGTTTTCATAAGAAAGTAGTACCCACATGTATATGTTTGCCTTTAATTTTATTAACAATATTTAAATAACCGAGAAAAAATGCACGATCTCTATGTTTATTTCTCTTGTGATAAATATAAGGAGATAACGAATGCTCTTCAAGTTCAAAAGTCCATTAAAAATACAAAATAGGAGCTGAGCAAATATGGATCTCCAAAACATCAGAGGTGAAATCAGGTGCGATGAAGGAGTAAGAATCCTCTGTCGAACTATCACGCCTATCGTTTGCACCTTGTAGCGATCGGGAAATAACGGGAAAATTCGTATAAGTAATGGACTAATAATAAATATGAAAATCACCAGTCAGCATTTGATTCAAAGGTAAAAATTTTATTTGCTGACAAAGTCATTGTATCAACCATAGAACTTACGGAATGATGACTTTAAACGAGAGAGCTGAAATTCTTGTTTCATCAATTTGTTCGTCAATAATGTACCCTTTTTTTAAAGAAATTGTTCATACGTAGAGCATGTTCTTTGCGTATAGAATCAACTGAGATATATAAACTCCGTATGCAGGTGAAAAAGATAAATTGCTGCATAAGTAGGGGAAGTTGACGAAAGTTAACGACTTCATGCTTATCATAGAGCTTGGTTGTAAGATTACCATTTACGTCTTTTTCAAGTAAAATATCTAAGTATGAAACAGATGTGTCTGTGGTATCTTTTATCTCAAGCTTACCTGGATAAACTTACCACCTTTTATATATATGTGAAGTCAAGAGAGATGTTATCGTCTGTTTCAACTCATAGGCGCTTGGTTTCAGGATGGAGTGTTTGTGTATTATGTGTATTCTTTGTCTGTCTTAAAAATCATTAAAATAAAAATGAAAAGTTAAAATTAAAGTTTTTCAAAGATATATTTCTGTATACTGTAAAATCACAAATTTCGTAGAGTAAAATTTTCGTGGTTTGAAAAGAAAACATTTGTTCGGTTGGGGATTTACTTTCGAGGATGAAGAATTTTTTGGTTGTAATGTCTGTGAAAAATTATATTTCGTGGTGGACATAGATTCTAGGGTTTCTTCTTACCTCGTAAACCACGAAGATTGAAAAATGTAAAAGGACACAAGCGACGACATTTTCTTTATTGCATTCAAGAGGGGGCGATGCCTCAGTTCAAATTTGATTTTATTCAATATCTACGCTTTTCCACCAATGAAACGTACAAAGACGTTCGCACCATTAATACAATAGTTAATCTTTTTAATCCTACTTTAAATGATTATTTAAACAGATATAAATATAAACGAATATAACAGCTACGACATTCATTCCCGTACTAACAACCAAAGAAAGCATTTAATTGTTTAAATTTGCGAATGACCCTGACACCGATTTGGACGGAACATGTATAATATGTACTATTTGATATATTAGTCTCACTTCCAAAGTTTCCATTGAAAATATCAGTTCAAACCCAGTTGCCATTCGTATATAATATATGTGTTTATCCCTCATTTGAGCAGTTACATGTAGCATAATTATTTTATGTTTACACATTTATCTCATATGAGATTTAGATGCATTTGTCGGTGTATATATATGTACATGTAGTTTACATCCATGCATAAGCTAGTGGGTACAAATATAGGTTAGTTAGGGATACAAATACAAAATTTATCTACATGTGTTTAGGAATTAAAGATTCATAGTACTAAGTTGAGATAAACTTCTCCAGCATTTTAGCGTATTAGATAAAGGATAGGTTTCCACTGACTTAGCATATTAATTTTCATGCTCTCAATCGTATAATTTATCCATTTTTACAGCTTTAAAAGATTTTAAAGTCTATAATTTTAATAACCTATTTCATAGCATATTTTTGCAGGGTGGGTGGGTGGTTACCCCCCTAAATTTCACAAAGTAGGAAGCTTAAGGTGTGATAAGATCATGCATTTTTGATGGAGCATCAGCTGGGAAGGGATTTAGAATAAAGGATTTAGTCATATGTGCCTTACATGTCTGCTTCAGTCCATCTACATTTACAAATGCTTAGGGTAAATACAAAGTCCTCTATCATGTTAAATCTAGATAAAATGTATTTTCTACATAAATTGCTTACATTAGTCCAGTTAGTAGTTCTTTCTTGCCAACTGGATATTTATAATAGAAATAGAGACCCAAAGAAATATAATAGTATCCTGGAAAGGTATAAATTCAGGGAAGAGGGGGGGGGGGCGTTAGGCACGATTAATTTGAAGGGAAAACAGAATTATTTTAATGCAGCATAAATCGACAGTGGGTTGGAAATGAGAGAGATTGATGTTCACGATGAATGGGTCGCTGAGGGTTTTGAGTAGGCTAGGAGTCCATGGTGGGTGGTTAAATTGATGTTGCCTACCCCCACCAAGTGGCGATGGGCACCTATGGTGCCCATGTGGCGGAACGTCAACTTCAATTTAACCATTGAACTGTTGATTTTGTTGACTTTTTGTGGTTGATGTTGATATATGTGATGGGTGATGTTGATATATGTGAAATTGACTTTGAAAATTATATCTTATACAAATTGATGTAAATCTAAAGCAAAAGAATATAATTAAAAGATACTTTGTGTTGAAATGTGTCCGTAGCACGAATGAGGTCAACCCAGCGTGCTACTTTTCCCGTCAGGGAGGGCAAAACATATGTTGATTTTGGGCGTGTGCCAGTTTCCCGGCTGCCCCACTGTACGTTGTGCTGACCACTTTGGACAATACCTGCCAACTCGAATGAAACATTAAACATTAAACAAAAAATACTTAGCATTTATTTATTATATATAGCCATAGGTCTTTGATAATGTTCATTAAAATCCACCTGCCTATAAAACAGACATTGGTTGCTGTAAATTTCACATATTTCAGTGAATATTTCTTTGGGATTCTTAACAATTTTTTCAGTACTGTAGCTTTCATGAAGCTTTATTTATTTCACTCTAGTTTACCGATTCTTTACTTTTTCATTTTTAATGCAGTGTCTCGAATAGCCATTGATTTCCAGCTTCTCACAATGAAAGTATGTGATGAAAAGTGGTAAAATAAACTGTAATCAATTAATTAAAAATGATTTCATGAGAGAAAGCCAAGCTTAACGTCAAATGATTTCTATGTTGTATGTCATAGTGCTCGGCACATTGTTTATTGATCAGCCCTCGTACAATGTAGCTCAATCGGTATAGTAATCGATCCGTGATCCGGAAGTCATGTGAGTTCGAATCTCGCCTGCGATTGACCAAAGTCGATAAAAATGGGAAGCAATTGTTTCTTCGCCATGCGCTCGGTACTTGAAGTGAAAATTTTGGGTTCCTGGGATAAAACCTTAAAAATCGAGGCCCCGCGTTACAATATGTTGATACAATTTTAAAGATCCCTCACTGCTCAATGGCTCTAAATGCCGCTTAAATGTCAAAATTAAAAGCCCCTCATCGGTTTACGGTGATGTTTCATTTTGAGTGAAGAATTATCAAATGTGATGTAAAACAACAATCAATCAATCTTCTCGACAGAACAAATGTGACAAGTGGCCGTAAGTGATATGGATGAAAAACTCTAGCAGATATATAGAAAGGTTAATACCTCAGTCTGTTATACTGATTTAAAAAATCATTAATACAGAATGTAGAGAGGACACATTAATCACAACAATTAACCATGTCTGACGATGATTCTCATGCTTACTTGCTTGTTAACTTGAAATACTAGTACTGTA